GGCTATGTACCAGGCAAGTGGTGTGGAGTCTAAATTGGGGAAGGCATCGAGGTGCTCAAGAAGAGTCCTCTCACTGGGGAGGGACTAGCCTGCAGTCCAGACTGAGCAAAGCATGAGGCTGTGCTGTGGGGGAAAGGAAAACTCCCAAGAAGGTCTGCTCCCTATTTGGAGACTGTTTTTCTACTTTGCAACCTCCCCAGGGTTTACTTCAATTCTTATCGCTACACTGGAGAAGCAATAAGGTGTGTGTGGGAAAGTCAGGTGTGCGTCCCTTCCTTGAAGGCACTTTTCATACCAAGTATTCTCTTAAGCACTGGCTATTCAGAAAGACTCACCCTGTTCTCAGTCACCCCTGTGAGGGCCCCCAGGTTGGTGAGGCCAGCCTCCTGCTCTCACAGCTAACCTGTCAAAGTCCTCTTTGGAAACTCATTCTTCAAGCTCCCCCTGTGCTTCTTACAGGAAGCTCAGTTCAGAATCTCAGTCCTCTACTCAGTGAGAACCTTCTGCTAATTTTCAGTGTGAAGGTGCTCATGGCCAGTTTATACCAAGCCATTCTTGTACACAAATATCACCCTGCACTTTAAACAGAGCTTTCCCCACCTTGGCATCTCTCTTCTCTGCTGTATTTATTCTTCCTGAGCTTTTGGCTTGTCAGGTTAAAAAAAGCTGTTTCTCTTGCCTCCAACTGCATTTGCACCAGGCTTCCTACAGCAGAAGTCTTGAAGTATGATGATACCAAGACAGTGGAGAGGAAAGCAGACAGCTGAAGCAGCATTAAATACATCTTGAAGAAATAAGAGAACTTGGGAGCATTTTCCCTCTTCTCCCCTGAGATCACACTGAGTTAAGTTGTCTTTATGCTAAGGCTATGCCAGAAGAAGTTAGCTTCTGCATACTGAAAATAACTGGAGGTGTTGAAGTCCATTCTTGCAGTCACACAGGCATTTGTTATTTAAAACAAACAGTCCTCTTGCTTTGATTAACCATTAAGAGTTTAAATCAAGATACTTTCCTCTTCCATTGAAAGATGTGGCGAGTTATTTAAGAAAGACAGTATCTGTGTTCCTGCTAATACAGGAATATTGCTGTATCACTCCGCGGGAGCCAATCACCTGATGCTGAAACCAATCTAAGTTTTACTCCAAGCCACCTGGAGAAGACTGTACAAGGACCCTAGCTACCAGCCCTCAAGAGGCACCCACTTTTCACTGTGCTCATCTCAAGAACACTTTCAGAGGGCAGTGGAGATATTTCACTACTGGGCAAGCTTGCTGTTAAAGGCAGTTTTGTTGTTTTTAACGGTAAAGGTTGACTATTTTGGCAGATCATGACTGAGGCATCACAACAGTACTTTGGAAAAGGGATTTGTCACACAAGCAGAATGCAGGCTTTGAGGTAAAGGCGTAAGCTACACCTTCCTGCAAAAGCTCGCTCCATACCCCAGCATTCGGCAATAAAGCATTCACATTAAAGGTCCCTCTGCCTGGCTGATGAGGTTTATTGCTAACATCTCTCAGACAGACTCCTTGAGAGGGGTGAGCAGTTAAGATGGATGAGGCAAGCCTTGTGGATGTTCAGGTGAGAGTTCCTAAAGCAATACTGATAAATACAGCAGAAGGGCTAGATGTTGCCTCCACAGCAAAGAAGGTCAAGAACTTCATTTTGAGAAAGGAAGATAAAAGCAATCTTCGATTTCAAACTTAAGGTCAGCCAGATACACGACACCTTATAGCATCCAGTGTCAAACGTAGCGTCTAGGGAGAACAGGCTGCAGGAACTCAAAGGATGCTCTGTGCAAGTGCCTTACGGCTCCACTGCAGTTTCTTGACAGATGTCTCCCTGCCTCTCCATCCAATTCAAGTATTCTCATCACTACTTATTTCACCTTTCCCGTCTGCCCCCGTTCGCTGTATGGCAGCAGTAGCTATGAGTTCTGGCATTGTGGTCGCAGGCTCTGCTGGGCACAGCCCGGTGGAGACACAGCACTTGCTCTGAGGAGCTCACAGTCTACACGAAGGGGAGAAAGTCTTCTGTACAGCAGTTTGGAAAAGCAGGTCATGCTGCAGAAGGGGTAAAAGATCTCAAATGATATTTCTGGACACACTAGTTGGGAAGCCGGCTGCTTTCTATTCCCAGCTTGATTTGGGCATCTGACACAGCATGTCTCAGAAAAAGACTGACCAAAGCTAAGTTATGTGGTCATCAGAAAACCACACTGACTGATTCTGTTTATTTATAACTGGTAAGGGAAGTGACATGGTCTCAAGCCCACAGGTTATATTAGGATTGGAGCTCTAGATTTTTCTGAAACGTAATAAGGGCAGAGGGGAGCTTAAAGATAAACTCACACATTGGACCAAGCATGTGAACGGGCGATCCCGTACTCTTCCACTGCAGAAGGCACGCTCCAACGCTCCTTGCCTTGCACTTCTGCAAGCACCAGGAAATTGGCCTCTGCTTCAAAGGAGCTGCCTCAAAGCCATCCACAACAGCAGAGATGTGCACAAACAAGAATAAACAAGACACCGGAGGAGATATCAACAGCACATCCCAGGCGAAGTGCTCTCATGTCTACAGCACAAGTGAATTTGCAGGAAGTCTTAGAGAAAGAGAACATAATGGATTTTGTCAGTTAGCAAAGCAAAGGTCTACAGCTACAAGGAGCAAAAAGCCAAGAGCAATAGTGGCAAGAGCTTGAACAAAAGTGGCAAAGTTTCCCAAAGGCTGGGAAGCTGCCAGGATACTGGCACAGTCAGGAGGTTGATACATAGCTTCCGACTCCTAGTGTCTAAGAGAGGAGGAATTTTCTCCAAAGTTTTCCAATTTGGAAACAAGAGGGAAAACACAGTAGTTCATTTAACTTAGGAAGACTATCCTGGAGGAATCCTGTCAAATTACTAAAAGGATGACAACAAAACTGTAAGAAAGCACAGTTAACTAACAGCAATTTTTCAGAGGACCACAAGATTTTTCTGCTGTTCAGAATCTAGATCCTATTCTGGAGCAGGGCCCAAAGGAGAAACTCGAAAAGTAACGCTTTGTCTCATGTTTTAAGGAACGTACTATACGATCCAATTGACCTGCTCTAGTTTCAAGCCTGCATCAAACACGCAAGAAGCAGCCACCCTATTTTTGGAAGTGACTTGAAGGCAACACAGACTGGAAGAACTCCATTGGGAAAGCCAGTGTCATATTTAAACAAATTTGACAAACCTCAGAAAGTACGAGCTCCCACATTAAAGCTAAGGCAGATCTAGAGTAGAATTGCCTTGTCCTCTACAACCCCATCTTCTCAGCGCTTCTCTAGAAACTAATACCGAATATAGTTTGTAACAGACCTTTTCTGCAGCAGTCTAGGAAAGTCTGTCACTCACTCTCCTCTCTCCCGCCATTTCATAAAAACAGAATACCAGGCAGCAAGACAACATGCAGTGCCTCTTGGCATTTACATAGATCCTTTTGACACTTGATGTGTTCCTCTTCAGAGCTCTTTACCACGGCATGAAAGTTTTTTCCAGCCTAAAGGAAAAGCAAGTGTGCCCCATCGAAGCACTGAGAGCAGCACTTACCTGGGCTCCTCTAGAGTAGGATCTGAAAATGGTGCAAAATCTTCCTTGCCCTGATGTGTCCCTGCAACAAAGAAAAGTTACAGCAATGAAATTTGGAGAATCGAATCCCACACTGCACATTTCCTACTGGACCTAAAAAAAAAAAAAAAAAAAAAAAAAAAAAATCACTGTTGATCTTGTCAAATCTTTAGAACATGCATGCTATCCAAACTGCTCTGCACGGCGTTTTTTGGGAAGAATCGGTGGGTGCATCACCACCTTTGGTTACAGTCAGACACACTCCAGAGGTCCTCGCTGTCATCGTACTTGCCACGGAGAAGGTACAAACCAAAACCACTCAGCTTCAGCACTACCTTACGATGTACGAGGATGTAAGTCATTTTACTCCCTTGGGCAAAGGATCTTCTCTCTAGCTCCCTACAGTCCACGGAGTTCAAAGTCAGAGTGAGACCGCAGACCTCTCCTAGTCATGGAGAACAGCTGACCTATTGTAAAATGATCATAACCACTCAAGATAGGAGAAATTGTCTTGCACTGCCTAGTGTCACTTATCTTTCCAAAAGGGTTTTAACCAAAAATGAAAGGAAGTATCTTTATACCCGGATCTCTGACAGACCTGATTGATCATACCCTACAGAGAGCTCAGGAACAGGACTAGGGAACGGCATTTCTAGCCCACTGTGACAAGAAGGGGCTATTCAGTCATTATCACTTGCCCTGACTGCAACTCCTGCCATGGTGTAAATAAGTCTGACTAGATGACCAGCACCTCTCAGTGCCTGTGGGAACATCTGGGACAGTAAGCCAGAGCCCAGCACACTGATTTAACAGTATATACTGAAATGTGTCAGGGTAATCAGAGACACGTTATGATGTTTGTCATATCTATTCACTGGGCCAGGATAAAAGACACATTAATGACCACTGAGAAGCCTGATGAATCCCTCAGCCCCAGATTTGCACCAGCTGTATGAAAAAGGCAGTGACCTCAAGTTCAGGACAGTCACTCTTTCAGATCTAAAGCTTTCAAGGATCATATTATTGGTCATGGATGTCAATCTAACAGTCTGTGCTTAGATCTCCTTCTCCCTCAACAATCAAATATTGGGTTGTATGAGGAGAGTAATGGTAAAAGATTACATTAAGGCATCATAAACCAATGCTACCAGCTTTTCAGGTTCTGTGTTGGTTCTCCAGCTCAAGAATTACAGTATAAAAAGAAGAGGGTTTCAAGAGGGAAGCAGTAAGTAACCACACACTTGGGGCTGAAATGTTAAAACAGACATCTTACAAGACAAAAGAATATAAGCAGCACATATAAACATACAAGCTAGAAGAGATAAATTAGCTGCTTCTGTTCTTTTGTAACAAAAGTGAGGACATTCAGCTTCAGAGAGCAGGGGTATAATTAAACCATGAAACCATAGGCTGCTGGAGTCAGTCACTGAGGTTGAGAACATGGCGTTCATCCCTGTTTAACAATTCACACCGATTACTAATATTCCTGTTACTTGATACAAGCGTTGGTAAAAGGGCTATTTAAGTTCATGTTTTAGGGCCTGTGTAATTCCCTACTAGATCTGGGTGAAACCCAGAATAGGGGCAGGCTACCTATCCTTCCCCTTTCATCTAGAGGATTCTGTGGCAGCTTCTCAGCAGGTTAAACCTCAGACAAAGCTCGGCCAGAAGGACTCCAGGTCTCCCTCCAGTGCTGACAGATAAGGCAGGGGTCACCCCTCCCATGCAGCGTTCTCCCATCTCCATCCCAGTGTCAGGTCACTCCAGTAAGTCCTGCTCTCCAGGGGTTTACCATACTCTGACACTAACTGTGAGGTCTGTTCACTGCTCTTGTTTTAATTTTCTACTCGAGTCATTGAGAAATATCCAGCTTCTGCAGGGACGAAGAGCTTCACCCATTTTTTTTCTCCTTTCCTATTCTCTCGGCTGTATTTCTCATCCTACGTTTTCAGGGAAATCCAGTATTACTTCCAAATAATATTGTTCTCTCAGTGATTGAGAGCTGTATGGGAACATGGTCAGGTATGACGGAGAAAGACTGAAACCGGACTATTCCAGCAAGGAACAGCATGCTGTTTGTGCTACCCGATTAACAGAAAGAGGTCTGGTTTGCTAGAATAACTCACTGGTAAGAACACCTAGCAAGTCTTGCCGCATGCCTGGGATGCTCTGCACTCTCCGCAGCTCGGTACAGCACCCCACTAGCAGCACCACCGCCCCTGTCTCCGGTCCTGCGCTCGCAGCCAAAGTGGATCAGAAACACTCACCAGAGTTCCAGCTTGACCCTTCTGCCGTCCAACAAGATAGTAGTGGTTTTGTAGTCAATTCCTGAAAAGAAACCAATAAAAAGCTGAGCAAACACCAAGCAGGTCTTCAGAGACAGACAAGAGATCTGCTCTGCCCACCCAGATCTACCACTTCACGTTTACAGAAAGTGATGTTTTCTCCCCCTTGCTGTATTGCGTGTTTGCGGAGGGCTACAGAGACTTGATAGAAAGAAACTTCTGCTTCAATGCAAAGCCTACTCTTGTGGAGCTCTCTCCCTCCTCCCTAAAAATATAATTAACCCCTAGATTGCTTCTTACTTCTCCATTGTTGGATAAAACCTGTTAGGACTCAAGCTGTAGGAGATTCAGTGGTCTGTAGCATTATCCCAAGTGACAGCATTAAGTTACAGACTTCTGGGGCGTGAGCCAGAAAGACGAACAATTTAGAAGCATCTCTGCTGAAGTCAGCCTGCAGACCCACCATCTCTCAAACACCTGCCTGAAACATTCAGAGGACATTTTGGGAGGTGGGTGATACTGAAAGCCTGTCCAGAGGATGCTGTTTCTTCTTCTGAGCAGCTCTCAGGTGCGTATCCTACAGGGTCAGAGAAGGCAGAAAGCACTCCCCCTTTACCACCAGCTGAGAGAGCAGCAGACATCTGCTTTTCATAGAGCCATGGTACCAGAGCAGCAGAAGACCCTCAAAGCCCCAACACCAGGCTGTGCTGACAAGCGACTGGTTCGCACAAGGGGTGCCCAGCATCTTCAGAGACCCAAAGAGTTTGTTAAAAACTGGGAGCCTGTCTCTCACATTCAGGCAAAGAAGAAGTTTAAAAAAGGGGCAACTCCACTTGCAAGCAACACGTCCAAACCGAGCCGAACATGCTGCTCCCCAGGGCCCCAGGCACAGGAGGGAAGAGGCACGACCGCACCTCCCACCTCCTTCCCCAAAGCCTGGGCTCGGGAACAGCCGAGGGGCATTAGGTGCCCAGGAAAAGCAAGCTCCAGTTAATAAGCTTCAAGTGTATTGAAGTTGCTTAAACAAAGCATCATGCACCATTACTGCACACCCACTAAAGCATAAACTAATTCACAATTGTCTTTAATAAAGCAGAATCACTTCACTCTGATTAGATCAACTTTCTTTTTTCCTCTCACCAATAGATATCAAACTTTGAATCCATATTAAAAACCCACCATTGTGTTACGACCTGTATTTCCCTTTTCCTGCAAGGAGAATACTGCCCCGATAACCAAACAGACAAGTTTGTCAATAAAGCAAATGGATTTTTCTGAGTCATCAACAGGAGCTCCCTGTTAGTGAAAAACAAATTAGATTTCAGCCTTCACAGGGTGCTATAAAAAGCAATAAAGACAATTATCTTAAATTCCAACTATTTCCATTGCTTTATCACAGAAAATAGACAGTTTACATTATCTTCCTCCAGAGACAAGTGAATGATCTGTATTTATTTTCAGGTGGATATAATCTCCCTCGTCGAGCAGCAGTGGGAGCAAGCCTGCTCTGCAACCAGGAGGAGCATCCAGACATCTCCTGCCCAGTTCCTGAACCAGGATCATCCCCTGGCACAGGCTGACGGGCTGTTAGGGGAGGGTCTAATGAAGCCCACTGCCCTGCTTCAGATGCAAAATCCCCAGACACTCTGCTCCACGCAGAACTGCCCCGTTTCTCGTTAGGCACAAGAGCTCCCTGCAAGCAGTAAGTCCTCAGCAGCCCAGGCGCACGGACAGAGCAGTTGCGTGCAAGTACCAAGGAGGGGGAATAATGACACCATTTTCGGGGCACAGAGGCCACGCGCTTCCAAAAATGCCGCCATCGAGTGAAACAAATCACTCGACTATCAGCTCTTAAAAGTAAAAGAGGTCCTGCTGGACTGGAAGGAGAAGAAAACTCATTAATGGAAACGCCAAACACAAAAACCCAGAAGTGCCCTTGTTAGGCTCCATGCTCAGGAACTGCCCAGCCTACACCCCCAACATGTGCTCCCCGTCACAAATAAACATGACTCAGTCACCAGAGCAATGCTTTAAACACCCACTCCCTCCATGCCCGTCTGAAACTACACCACATACTTTAAATCAGAGCAACACCAGCCTTTAGGCAGAACAATATGGCCATGACCAAAGTGGGCAACCACCAGAAAACAGCACTGGGAAACTTCCTGAGCTCCTGCTGCAACTGCTCCTCGCTCCAAAGATGCTCAGGGAAAATAAATAGGCGAAGTAGAAGTCCTTTCGTGTCCTTCATAGTGACGTCTATGCTCAGAAGAGAAGGTATGAGATGGAGGGAGGAAGCACGAGGTGCATGGTTGTACTTGTCCCTGCAGACATCCCCGCCCAGGGGACCCGCAGGGATGGCAGCCCATCGCTTGTGCGGGAAATTAATAGAGCTCACCACAATGGAGCGGTTCTGGCAGACTCTCCAGGCACCCGCTGCCACACTCGATGTCAAACACCAAATGCAAAAATCACAGAGAAAGGAAAGTACCCAAACTATCTCTTCACCTTTCCAGACAGCTGCCAGTCAACTGGTTTCGCTGCCTGGCCTCCGGGCAGTCCGTGTCTTTGTGCAGAACTTCTCTCCTTGGCATCAGAGTGCTGGAGGTGAAGGGGAAAGGCCCTTCTGAGGACTGCACACCTGGGGTACTGCCACCAAACTGGCCTGAGCAATTCACATACACTCGAGTTAAAAGCAAAGCTGTTTTGACTTTTTATTCTAGGCTACAGTCAGCATTTAAGCAGTATCTGGTAATATGGGTTGGAGGAAAGTGATGCAGTTTTTAACTTGCATACACCCAAATTAGGACTAGGGGCTAAATTTACAAAAGGTTTTTGAGCAAAAAACTCTACCTACAAGCTCACTGATAAGGACAAAAACTGCGCAACTGCAACATTTTGGAGAAAATTTCAGCTTCCCTCGTCCATATGCACTCAGTGCATCAGGACAGCTCAAACGGACTCCCTTTAAAGCTTGCATGCAACAGCTTTTTTTTTTTTTTTGTCTGTTTTTTTAGCTGGTTAGTACTTGGAGTAGGATGCAGCTCACAAGCGCAGCTCTCCCGTAGCTGTGCAGGACGGCCATGGCTCGCTGGTGCTAGAAAACTTGCATCAGTCACAGATGCCCTTAAAATCACGGGACTCGCCACAGCAGCTAACACCAGTACTGGCCACCTCACAGCTGGTACCTTACTATTTTAGTCCCAGTAACACACAGCCGTTTCCCCAGCTGTAGCCCAATACACACTCCCCCCATTCAGAGCTGGCAAGGAAGCCAAGCAGCCCAGCTGGCTTTCCTAGGCCCAGCCTACAGCTCAAGCTCAGCCTTGGCTTCCCCCTTGTCCCAGGGACCTGGGGACAGACGGCCACAGCCCCACCGGCCGCGGCAGCCACTAGATGCCACCACTGCACAGAGGCTGCTGGCAGCACGACAGCCGCGGGCAGAGCATGCGTGGCCGTGCCGCGCCAGGGTCGCTCCTCTGCCTTTTTGTTTCAGGCAGCTCAGACGCCAGTAAGTTAAGGGAAGTTTTTAAAATTTAATTTCTGTAGTTGACAGGGTTTCCCCCACCTGAGCATCACCTCTGCTCGCAGCCAAGTACAGCTCATCTCGAGACTGACATTTGCTCTCCACCAGAACGTGCTTTGATCCCCCGGAAGGGATGCGCTGCTACAAACCCCACGCGATGCTCCTGTGGCACACGCAGCATCAGCAAACCAGCCGACTCGCCGCCAGCAGCTGCCTCCGCAACCCTGCCTGGCCCTCGGGGCACGCAGCACTGGGGAAAAGAAAACAGTCTTGTTTAAAGCTTATTTTATATCAACTGATCTCTTTCTTGACCAATATCTAGCATGATGCAACAAAATGAATGAGCCTTGGAAAACAAGTCTGGGCTGTTCTCTCTAATTTAGCATTCAGGCCGACTCCTCTGCTATTTTTCCAGTCCTGCTTTAGACTCCTATTTACGCTGACACCATCTCAGCCCCACTTCTCGAGCAGCGAGCCAACCTGGCACAGGGTGTTCTGCAAAGCGATCTGCTGTCACCAAGCCTGATGTCAGACACCCGATTCCCCGCTGCAGAGCCGGGTTTCACGCTCCCAGGCAAGACTCCAGGGAATTCCAAACCTTTATTTCTTTTACCAATTGGTATAAGGAAAACCTAAGCAAGCAAGCCATTTTCCCATGGGAATAGAAGGATGTGCTACAGGAAACTCTGACCTCTTCCAAATTACTCATGCAGAGCACAGCACACTTCGCATCAATACGACCTGAAAAAACCCCACACCCAATCTTAGCTTAGTTAAAACTTACGACTTTCACCTGAAAGATTACACCTGACCAGGAAAAGTAAAACCCCTCCAAGAGAAACGACAATTTTCTTCCAGCACTTGGTACTACTTTGTATCAGGCTGTCAGTCCCCCTTCCTCTTGGGAATTCATGGCTCCGAGAAAGGCATCCCTCCGCTCCGCCTAGCCCCGGCGCTGCATCTGCACGAGCAGCAGCCCTCTGAAAACACAATGGAGGAGGCAGCAGGCAAGCAGATACATGGAACTGGAAGTCACATTGGAAAAGGTAGAAAGACAAGGGAGATACGTAGTTTATGCTACTCTTGGGCTCTCCCTTTAAGCAGATTAATATCTCAGGAAAATTGCTTTAAATAGCTCAAGTGAACAAGGCTCTATAAATATTTACTGCTGCAAGCACAGCAGCTTCTTGGCTTTGTGTAGATCTTTGTTTTAGAGAAAAGGAGAGAATTTTACAGTTGCAGACTCTCAAGATGACTCTGCCCCAACGCCTGGGCGGGGGGGCCAGAAGGGTCGCCTCCCCTTAAAAAGGCAGATTTGAGCAAAACCTTACAGCAGAAGTGCCTTTTTCCTCCTTTAGCTTTCCAAGGAGATCCTCACTTAGTGCAGGGGTGAGAGCGATTCCAGCTCTCAGCATGAATGCTAGGGCCAATACTGCATTTTAGGTTATTGGTCCAAATCAACCGTCCTCCTCCAGAGATGCTCTAATGATCCAGTCCCCAACTAACAGCTTCACTGC